AGAGAGAGAGAGAGAGAGAGAGAGAGAGAGAGAGAGAGAGAGAGAGAGAGACGGAGAGAGAGAAAGAGAGAGAGAATAAATGAATCAATAAACCCCTCTTTTGATCGGGTAGTGGCCCAGAGCACAAACGTCCTATCTGCAGCATTAATGAACCTCAGATACCACCTTTTACCTCTAGCCTGGTGCTGTCATTACCCCGGCCTTACGACCTGCTGCTCTGTGCTGCAGGGACGTCACTTCAAGTGGAAGTCACGGCTCTCCAATTATTTGCGCAGTCGTGGGCTTAGAACAGAATTTAGACTTTATAAGGACTGCTGGTCTTTGAAGCCCTCATAAAGCCACGTGTGATCGTTGTTCACCCTCTTTGTCCGATGTTTTTGATGCTTTTTTCTCCCCTCTTGTAAACTCACTGACTCTTTTTATTCTCTCTTTCTACTCAGTCACTCACTCAGTCGCCCTGTCACTCACTCACTCACTCACTCACTCACTCACTCAGTTGCTCACGCAGTCACTCAGTCACTCAGTCACTCAGTCACTCACCTAGTCACTCACTCACTCACTCACTCACTCACTCACTCACTCACTCACTCACTCACTCACTCACTCAGTTACTCTCTCACTCACCGTCACCAAATTGAGAGTTGGCTACTGGCTCTATAGATTTCTGCATTGAGACCTTCTCCTGACGATGCTGAACAATCTGGTGCTTGTGTCTACTTTTCTTGCCGTATTTCTTCAGATTTATATTTTTCGTAATTCTTCTTCTTTTTCTTTCGTCTTTCATCGGAATATGTTCTCTTTTGATGTATTTTTGTGGCTTCTACAAAAGACACCCCCCCGAATAAAAAAAACAAAACAAAAACAACGAAAGAAAATGCCATAGCTTTTGACATGTTATGCTTTATCTGCTCTTCTATTCTCTTTTCTATACAAGTACATGATATTATTGTAACATGCATTATCCATATCTTCTCTGACGTACGGTATGTGCCTTTTGTAAGAATAATGTTTTCTGTTAAAAAATTATTTATCTTATCCTGTCCTGTCATTTTGCTGTCTTACATTTCACAGTAAATATAGCTATGCTTGCTTTTTGTGTGTTTTCTGAGCTGGATCGTCGTTCTGATAAGCAATCACGCCCCCATCCCCCCTTCTCCCCCATCTCTCTCTCTCTCTCTCTCTCCCTCTCCCTCTCCCTCTCTCTCTCTCTCTCTCTCTCTCTCTCTCTCTCTCTCTCTCTCTCTCTCTCTCTCTCTCTCTCCCTCTCTCTCTCCCCGCCCCACTCTCCCTCTCCTCTCTCCTCTCTCCCCTTCTAACTCTTTTTCTCTATCTCTCGTTTATGCGGCCGTATAACCCTGTCACATACTTGTACATATTCATGTGTTGATTTAAAGTCCAGAGTTTCAAGAGAACATTCAGTCTTCTCCGTTATCGTCTTTGTCATCATGGTCTGTCGAGGTCATGTTGCTCAGTATGGAATTTCGTTGTAGCTGGATTGTTTAGTTTTTTTTAAAGGCTGTTTGCATTTCGAGACTGTTAATTCATTTTATCAAGCAGTCGGCTGCTTTTTAATTATTTTTTTGGGGGCGCTTACCGTATGATTCGTTGTATTGATATGCACATTCATTGTCTTTCATGTGCTGAAAACGTTCTCTTTTCTTTGCTTAAATTTGCTGCTCTGTCATGGATGGATTGGAGTTTATTTTTTCTGATGGGTTCTTCACCCCCTTTTTTTTCTTACTTTTGTTTGAAATGCATTTTTATTTTTTTATCAGCTCTCTGTTGCCAAAGTCAAATTTATGAGCATCCCTTTAATTCCCCTGTTGGTTGGAGGGTGTCTCTTTTCTTGACCCATTTTCTTAACTGTCCATGGTGTCTCTTGCGGTCGAGAGCTTACGGTGTTCGCTTCTCGTTCAATAGGTCCCTGGTTCGATTTCGGATAGCGACGGAAAATTTGTTTCTCCAAAATTTTCTCATTTCACCTCCTTTCCTGCTCTCTAACAATGTTCTGTTGTCTGCTTTCGTCTCCACTTTTTGCCCCCCCCCCCCCACTCCCTCACCTCCTTTGTCCCCTCCTCTGGGCTCCTCGCTCATATTCTTCAGCCTTTCTACTGCTAGTCCTTGGCCCCTTCTTACTTCTGTCTTTCGGCCACAACCCTCTTCTTATGGTAGGTAAGATCTAACACCTAGTCTTCTCAGATAAGGAAAAAAAATCTTGGAGGTCCTATGTGCACGTTAAAGATACATTGGTGGTCCAAAATCGACAAGAGTAGGCTTTGGCTGCCACCTGGGAATTCAAAATTTCTCAGCAACTGAAAATATTTAATATATGTCCCATGCACTCATATGACCTTTTGCAGTTGCAAGCGCCATAAAACACTTACAACCCCCCCCAACGAAATCAACATCGACGAAGAAACCCTGTCTCTGTGTTGTTTCTTTCAGTCTGTCTGTTTATATGTCTGGCTGGCTTTTCCAAGCACTATTTTGAGTGCCATCGTCATGTCAACATGCTTTCCTTGGCGTTAAAAATCCTTTAATTACTCTGATTTTTGAATGTCTTTACTTGTTCATCCACAGTTGTGAGCACGCGCAGAGATTGCATCACATGCGAGCATTACTTTATGTGCCGCTCAGACTGCGTGTGTGTGCACAGAGACTGGCTATGCGACGGGGAGCCGGACTGCACGGATGGCTCAGACGAACTGGACTGTCGTAAGTCTCAGTAAAGACATCAGTATATTGCCTATATGTGAGGCAGCATGGTGAAATCAGGCGCTCGTGAAAATTTAAAAAATCGAAGAAAAAGGCATTTTTTCCACCGGTAGGGCAATTTTTATAGAATTTTGTTTTTCGGCTCAACATAGTTTATATCCATTTAAAAACATTTCCGTGAGAATTTTCATGCAAAAAGTTGATCAAAAGGCTCAAAAATGTAAATTTGCAGTTTCAAAGGTCTCTCCAGCTTTGGCAGTTGCCAAAATTTGGCGGCCATTTTATCACTAATTTTACCCCTGCTACTAGGCGACCCCTACCTCTTTAACTTTAAAACTCAAATAACTCGACTTGTTTTCAAGATAGATGGCAAGATGAGTAATTGTTTCACCAAATGAAAGGGAAATCAAAAGGCTATAAAAGATCATACCAATAACTTCGTATGCCCAAAAAATTGACGAGCGGCTCGGCTGATTCCACCGCGTCGGGACACATATGTAGTTTAAGAGTGTCGGAGATTGTTTTGCTAAAAACATTGTGTATATTTTTATCGCTTTTTCCTAAGCTTTGAAAGATGATATAGATGCTGTGATCGCTGGTGAATATTTTGTTTTTGTTTTAACAAATTGTATACTGTATGATTGTTTTTCCTCAAGCTATGAGCAAAGGTATAGGTGTTGCGTTGGCTGGTGAAAATTTTTTTGTTTTATTTCTCTAGTAGGTATTCTTTAAGTACTGTACCACACTATTTACCCCTTGGCTTCATATTCATATCCAATAGAAGAGTGAACAGTAAGGTAACATCCTCTGCTGTGGTGCTGAATGGCCAAATTTTCTCAAGCTTGTCTTGATAGGATAATCACTGGGCCCTTTTCTCTTGTCTTCTTCCCCCCAGGGCCTCTGTACTGCCTCTGTTCATGTTCATTACATTTGTTAAAGGACACATGGCAAAGGGCTTCTAGATAAATGGACAATTACAATAGCAACAACAGTAATGATTGCAAAAACTTTTACCACTATGACAGCAATGTCTACGGTATAAAAACTTGGAAAGAGATAATAAAGAAAAACTTGGAAAGAGATAATAAATCTGGTATAAAGGTTCAATTGTTTGTGTTTGTTCTTCCAGAGCAGTACAAATGCCCTGAGAACGAGTTCACATGTACCAATGGGCGTTGTGTGAAGACCAAGTGGCTCTGTGATGGGGATGACGACTGTGGGGATGGCTCGGACGAGCTCAAGTGCCGTAAGTCCACTGCCAGTTTGACTTCTTTATGATTGATAATAACATGGTCGGACCTGCTTTAATGGCCACCTGTATAAGACAATCTCTGGTACAAACGGCTACTTCCCATTCCCCCTTCCCCCTTGTGTATATTTTACATTTTAATGACACTGTGTAAGATGGACACGTGTCTAATTCAGCCGCTTTTTTATCCTCAACAATGGGTGTCTGTTCTGTCTTCGACAGTTTCGACTGTATTTCATCCATCATATACTATGATGACCTTTAACATTCAAGGAGGAAGAGAAGTTGCAAGCTTGCAAGTTACTGCCTTAGTCAACTTTCAGCTCTGTGACTTGACAAAGAGAGTCAATTTGACATAATTTTGGAGAGAACTCATTGTGATATTGTCAAATTATTTAAATTTCAGAGCTGGTAATGATGAATAGGACATGTTTTTATGTCTGATTTTGTTGACCTGTTATGCTATATAGTATTACTGTAAATGCATTTGCTGCTGCTGTTGAATGTTTTCAGAATTTGAAATTGTAAAAAATAAAAATTTTGTAACCAGTTGTTTGAAGAATCGACCTGAGAAATTATTTTGTAACAGTTGACGTGTGAGAGGAGGATTATAAAAGCCCCTGAACGACATAAGTAATCCTCCTTTGTGTTTTTTTCTTATTGACACTAAAATCTGATTCCTCATAACCTTTTAGTTGGTGGCAATTCCTTGTAAGTGTAAATCATGTTGATAGGTGCGTAACCTGCGCTACAAATGTTCAGTCGTACGTCATTTGTAAACCTATTTCTCATCTGCTCATGGTTTCTTTGCTGCAGCCCAAATGAACTGTTCAAAGGGAGAGCTTCAGTGTGCCAACGGCAAGTGTGTACCCCAGAACTGGCGCTGTGACGGAGACGACGACTGTGAGGATGGCACGGATGAGCAATGCCGTAAGTGTTTCTTTTCCGTTGTACTTACTGTTACATTCCTCTTTTGTTATTGTTTCTGATCTAAATTGGGGTGATTGAAGGGTGCCACTGGTAAGTCCTACTTCTTAACTTTATATCTTTTGTTTCTGTCTGTCTGTCTTTCCATTAATTATTATGTCAATTTGCTTCTCTTTACTTAAAGGAACAAATAATAAATTGTGTAGCTGAGAACAAAAACATCAACAGTTACAATTTGGCCATTTCTCTTGAGCTTGTGCCTCTTTGGTTGAAAACTGACTTCAAATCTGCTGATTTCCCCAACCTGGGCTGCCCAAGTGCTGAGTTTTCCCAATGTTTGGTTTTGATGGCTATAAATGTGTGCCTGAGTAGCTAGGGCATTTCAATCTAAGAGTAGGTGGATTACATTTCAGAAGAAGCTCAGGCAGAGTGTAAAGTGTGCTTGTTTGTGGTTTTGTTTTGGGCTTATTTGGAGGAAAGTAGTTTAGATCGCGGCCAGAAAGTTAATAACCCTAGTTGATCTCATCGAGAGTTTATCCTGTCCTTTAGGTTTGTCACGATGTGATTGCGAGGACAGGGGTGCAAATTCTCCCTATTTTTTTGTTTGTGTTAAAAAATTAGAAAATTAATGTATGTATATTGAGCTTTTTCTTCATTAAGAGTAGATTTGTCCCCCTTTCCTTTTGGCTCTAAGTACAAGGGGAAGGGTAAAGCAAAGGGACAAAATGAAATTTATATTTGCAACCTTATGTACATCAAAAGTTGCATATCACCTGGACTGATTTTGTCCCACGTCTCTCTCCAGCTCTCCAAGACTGCAAGCCGGGCCAGTTCCGCTGTTCTGACGGCTCCTGTATCGCGTACATGTGGAAGTGTGACAGCGAGGTGGACTGTAGCGACGGGAGTGACGAAAGACATTGTGGTCAGTATTTTCTCTCACTGGTGTTATATTTTATTTATGAAACTTTTTAAAAAAAGTACTAGCGTGAATATCAGCAGCGTCTGCATGTGTATTTGTGAGAGTGCTTGCATGCATTGTGCACACGTGTGTGTCTGTGTGTGAAAAATACTTTATAATAGCTCTTACTATACCGTGAGATATATTTTATTGCAGATTATATGTATTTCTGTCATTAATTTTGATATTATTATATTATTATTGTTGTTGTTTTTTATGAGATGAATCGTGGTCTGTAGTTTTCTGTTGTCGTCGTTGTTTTTGATGAGATGAACTGTGTTGTGTAGCTTTCTGTTGTTCTTGTTTTTGTTATTATTGTTATTATTATGATTATGATTATTATTATTATTATTATTATTATTATTATTACTATTAGTAGCAGCAGCAGTATAGTAGTATTTAGGTCTTCTTCTTCTTCTTATTATTATTATTATTGTTTTTATTATTATTGTTTTTATTATTATTGTTATTATTATATTGTTATTGTTATTATTATTTTATTATTATTATTATTATCATTATTATTATTATTTTTTTGATATTATTAATATACATTCATCTCACTTTCAGCGGAGCTGTCGCGGCCAGTGTGTAGCAACAACCAGGTGCAGTGTGAGAAGACCCTCAAGTGTATCTGGAAGGAGACTCTGTGTGACCAGGAGAACGACTGTGGCCAGTGGGAGGATGAGATGAACTGTGGTCGGTAGCTTTTCCATTGTTGTTGTGGTGGTGGTTGTGATTGTTGTTGTTGTTTTTGATGAGATGAATTGTGGTCTCTGGCTTTCTGTTGTTGTTGTTTTCGATGAGATGAATTGTGGTCTCTGGCTTTCTGTTGTTGTTGTTTTTGATGAGATGAATTGTGGTCTCTGGCTTTCTGTTGTTGTTTTTCGATGAGATGAATTGTGGTCTCTGGCTTTCTGTTGTTGTTTTTGATGAGATGAATTGTGGTCTCTGGCTTTCTGTTGTTGTTGTTTTCGATGAGATGAATTGTGGTCTCTGGCTTTCTGTTGTTGTTGTTTTTGATGAGATGAATTGTGGTCTCTGGCTTTCTGTTGTTGTTTTTCGATGAGATGAATTGTGGTCTCTGGCTTTCTGTTGTTGTTTTTCGATGAGATGAATTGTGGTCTCTGGCTTTCTGTTGTTGTTTTTCGATGAGATGAATTGTGGTCTCTGGCTTTCTGTTGTTGTTGTTTTTGATGAGATGAATTGTGGTCTCTGGCTTTCTGTTGTTGTTGTTTTCGATGAGATGAATTGTGGTCTCTGGCTTTCTGTTGTTGTTGTTGTTGTTGTTGTTGTTGTTGTTTTTGATGAGATGAATAGTGGTCTCTGGCTTTCTGTTGTTGTTTTTGATGAGATGAATAGTGGTCTCTGGCTTTCTGTTGTTGTTTTTGATGAGATGAATTGTGGTCTCTGGCTTTCTGTTGTTGTTGTTTTTGATGAGATGAATTGTGGTCTCTGGCTTTCTGTTGTTGTTGTTGTTGTTGTTGTTGTTGTTGTTGTTTTTGATGAGATGAATTGTGGTCTCTGGCTTTCTGTTGTTGTTGTTGTTGTTGTTTTGTTTTTGATGAGATGAACTGTGGTGTGAAGCTTTCTGTTGTTGTTGCTGCTGTTGTAGTGGTTGTTGTTGTTGTTGTTGTTGTTGTTGTTGTTGCAGTTTCTGCTGCTGCTGCTGTTATGATTTCAGAGCTTTTTTAGTAGCTATATATGTGTGTGGACTGATTGTCATGGAGTCTCTGAGTATGGGTCATTTTGTTATGGTGTGCGGAAACACTTAGGTTACTGCAGTGGGTCTGCATCCTCATCATCCAGTGCCAGATCTGCGATAGACATTGGCGATCATGGTTTTCCATTCATTCCTTTGCTCGGATGCTCTCAAAAATGCTACGTTTCCCTGATCTTTCCCTGTTGCCCATTTGTTCAGGTTCCCTAAGTATGTTGTTCTGGGCCTACCCCTGCCTCGCTTGCCCTCGCAGTGGGTCTTAGAGAAATACAAACTGAAATGATGACTTTGGCGGGTGGCTGTCTTAGACAGAGGCACGTCTTGGACAGTGTCATTAAATTAAAAAACGCAGAGGGTAGGGGAAGGGGGGGGGGGGGTGTAGTGGTAAGTGGTTGTTTATATAGGTGCATGTTTTGGACAGTGTCATGAAATTTTGAAACCATAAGGGATGAAGTGGAAGGTGGTTGTGTGGTTGTTTGCATAGGTGCTTGTCTTGGACAGGTTACTGTCGGGGCAGGTTTGACTGTATACACATATATCCAATCAACCTTTGACGTCTGTCCCACAGGTCACTGCCAGCCAGGAGAATTCAACTGTTCCAATGGCGCTTGCATCAACCTCAGCTGGAGATGTGACGGAGATAGAGACTGCCAAGATGCCAGTGACGAGGCTGGATGCGGTATGGCCTTTGACCTTGACAGATTTTTTTTTTAGGGGGACGGCAAATTTTATTGCTGACTGTTTGTTGCTGTTTCAGTGCTTGTAATGAGTTTCTGCTTTATTATTTTTCTTCATCAGGTCTGTACAGCTAATTATTTGTTCTGTATGTTTCCTTTAGGTGTGTTGGCCTGAAGCGTGTGTATCACTGATTTCAGAGAGGGTTTTCTGTTATATAGTACTAATGGTCCAAACAGTCTTAATTCACACTTTTTGCAGAAGTAAATATCTTATAGTTTCCTTCCTTACTTCAGCATTTTAATTTTCTGATTAAAAAAAACCCCCTTAGATTGAAATAAGTATGTGCCAAAAATATCAGTAAATGTTTCAGGGTTGTTGGTTTTATTTTTTTTGGTTCCACTTTCTACATGTGTACACGTGTTTACAGTCACTCTGGAAACAAAATGTAGGGACAGAGGAGTGGTTTTGTAGTTTGTATTCACTTAAAAATTGTAACATGTTAATGTGTTGTTTTGAATATGTCTCGTGGATAACTATTGTGTTCTGTTCTTTGTCTCCTCAGCACTTCTGGAGTGCGATGATTCACAGTTCCGATGTGATTCTGGCTTCTGTATTGACGAAAAGAAGCACTGCGATGGGAATGCCGACTGTTCGGATGACAGTGATGAGATTGGATGCAGTAAGGAATCTTTCCTGATTTCCTTTAAAAAAAAATTTTTTTTGGTCATTGTGGAAACATTTCTGAAGTATGCTCTACTGCTTCACCTCATTATTGTTTCTTGATATTTTAAGCAATTTTTTCCTCTTCTGCAGTTTGTTTTTCAAGGTTTTTCTCTTTCGTTTTTAACTTTTTAAAAAAAATGGTTTCACATTTTCCCCCCAAAGATTTTAATATAGAAGGTCCTGTCTCTTTATTTTTGTCGCCTCTTTTTTCGGAACTTGTCTTTTTCATATTTCTTCTTTCATGTTTACTATTTATCTCTTTCGCTATCCATCTGGTCAGTTGTCCGTCCAGCTACCCTTGGGTTTTTACCATCAGGCTCTAGAGGATGGGAATCTTTGAATTTAACAGCTGTTCCCTATTACAGTAATAAGTGTTGTGTATTCTTCGACTGAGAAGAAGAAGAGGATTTTGCTAGAGGTTAGAGTATTAGAAGAGCTGGTGTTGGACAGTTTTATAATGGGTGATCATAGAATCTATGCACAGTGATTAATTTTCTTGGTTTATTCTGTTCTACTGACTGGTGCCTTAGTGGTTTAATATCTTTTGATCCTGTCAGTAAAATCAAATTTCTTCTGATGATATTGTTGTCTCTTTCTTTAAACATTTTTGACTATTTTTTAAACGTATCTTATTGTTTTTTGCTTCTTCTGAAGTTTACATAATTATTTATAAGTTCACCAGTTAAGGGTCATATTCTTTGTGATATGTCATTGCTGTGACTAGAATTTTACATGACTGGCATGAATTTTGTCTTGTCCCATTTTGCATTGTTTTGTCATTTCCAAGACTTGGACTGTGTCTGATGGGACCAAAGGTTTCATGTTTATACAAGTTCTTTTTACTCTAAGTTATTTTATTTCGGCAAATATCTTTATTTGTAAATCATGAGGGATGTGAGAGTTTTGATAGCAGGACTTTGGTATGTGACTGATTTCTGTTTCAGCCCCAAGAAAATGTCGCCTGGACCACTTCAGCTGTGCTAATGGAACGTGTTTACATCTGCACAAAGTGTGTGACGGTACACCGGACTGCCCGGACGGTGCTGATGAACGAGCCTGTGATAGTGAGTTATCGGGTAGTTGTTGGGCATGTGGTTTATAGGTGGTTTGTGGCTGTTTTTGGCTGTCTTTTAGATATTTATTTTTGAAATAGACTCTGAAAAGGGTAATGATGGGCGGAGGGTGTGTCGAAAGCAAAATGTACAAACAGATGTGATCTAGGAAGCTACTGAAAAATAAATAAACTTGAAAAGACTGGAAAAAACTGGAGGTACAAATCAACTGCTCAGTGTAAGACCCTGCTATTTGCCATTTTGAAAAGTGATATTTGACGGAATCTTATGGTGAGCAGTCGAAATGTTCGTGCAAATCATTTTTATCATCCTTATCTCTCCTTTGTGGGTTTTTTTGTATGTTACTCTCAAGTTACACCTATAACCTTCAGCACTTATATGGCCTATGTGTTGCAAGTGCCGTAATAAAACTCTTAATAAAACTAAATCATTAAAAAAATGTAAGAGTACTGCTTTTGTAGAGACTCAAAGTATCAGCTGTTGATTCGTCTTGCCTCTATGTACAGAACTCCCAATGACATGCAACGGAGACTGTGAGCAGAACTGCAGGTCGGTGGCTCACGGCGTGCGCTGTTGGTGTAACAAAGGGTATCGCCTCAGGGAAGACAAGAGGTCCTGTGAAGGTAAGATGGAGTTGTGGTTCTTGATGATGGATTAGTCTCTCTTCTCTTGCCCTTTTTAGCTCCCAGTGGAGCATAGGCCATCGACAACATTTCTCCTGTGAGGCCTGTCCTGTGCATCCTTTTCTGATGGATTAGCATACAGTAGCTATTGTCTAAGACGGCCACTCATTGTCAATGAGAAAAGTGGTTGTCTTAGACAGGTGGATGTCTTACACAGTGTCCTTATAATGTTAAAAACGAATACACAGGGGAGGAAATGGGAAGAGGCCATTTGTACAGAGGATTTGTCTTGTACAGGCAGCTGTTAGAGCAGGGTTGACTGAATTTTCAGTGCTGCAGTAAAGAGGTGTTTTGTTTGTACAGTAAGTTAGTACATCGAATATAGTTTTCTGGTTTTTGCCATATATAACAGAGGTTTTTGTTGTGGGTTTTTTGTTTTTTTTTGTTGCTTTTTCTTTTTTAGGGGTTTGTTTTATCTTTGTCTGTTTCCAAAGATGTTTTCTTCTTTTATTTTGAGTGTCCGTATTTACTTTGTCTGTTCCCAAAGAAGACTGGTCCAATTACGTCAACTTGTGTCACTCAATCATTTTCTGGTTTGAGTTGGGTTTCTGTTAATTTCTTTTGCATAAGTGGTTGAAGGGTGTTGCTGTCAGGTTTACTTTTTTCTCCTGTGTAATTTGTAGTTTTCGTCAAGCTTGTTCTCAGCTTTAAATATTCCAGTGTTTGTTGTGTGATGGAAAGGCTCTTTGCCTTGTATGAAAGAGATGTGTGTCGTTCCCATGTGGAGAAGACATTTTACAGTGTTGCTCAGTCTTTCTGCGGGGATACTCTGTCTTGGTCGGCTTGGGTTGGCCCTGATGGGCAGTGTCGAACTAGATTACCTATAAAAATAGACTGAGTTGTGTTGATGAGGCATAAGACATGTCCCATCCATCAGCTCTAGGTACTCATTGTTGTGAAGTCGAGCTTCTCTTTGAGTTGAACTGAATCAGTAAATGGTGTGTTAACATTTGCTATGTATGATAATATGGTTTGTTAACTTTTGCTATGTATGATAATAGGGTTTGTTAACTTTTGCTATGTATGATAATATGGTTTGTTAACATTAGTTATGTTTGATAACTTGATGTGTTAACATTTGTCACAAATTTTATTTTTTGTTTTCAGATGTGGATGAATGTAAATACGATGGAACGTGCAGCCAAATCTGTCGCAACTCCCAGGGGTCTTTCAATTGCTCTTGTGTTCCTGGTTACCAGCTAAAGCCTGATGGTAGAGGATGCAAGGCGCTGGGTCAGTGGAGACTGGGACTTGGGGATTGACAAATTAATATGTGATGTGTCTAATGAAAACAAGGCAAACTTTTTTATGATGACACTTTATTTTTACAATTTGAGAACTTTGGAATTTATAAATAAAATATCATGTGTGTGATCCACAAAACAAGATAAAAACTGTATGTGTGACAATATGACAACACTTTATTTTACAACTTCTTCCTGTGGAACTAAAAGCCCACCGAAGCCTGTACCCTAGTACCTAGCAAACGTATGTCTCAGTGTATGGTGGTGTAAACCAAGCAGTAGGGCCAAAGGATAAGAAGTGCCTGATATTTGCCAACATGACTTTGATGATATTTCTTGTTTTAGGTGGTGAAGCCTACCTGATATTTGCCAACCGCGTGGACATCCGGCGCGTGACCCCCGACAAGTCTGAGTACACGTCCATTCTGCGAGGACTGCAGAATGCCATAGCCCTGGACTTCCACCACAAGCACGGCTTAGTGTTCTGGAGCGACGTCACCCTGGACGTCATCAAGAGAGCCCACCTCAACGGCAGTCACGTCACTGACATTGTGTCGGACGGCTTAGAGAATCCAGGTTGGTCTCCTCGTTTTCTTGTTAGATTTTAGGGATGGTTGATGGCTGGTTCACTGGTTCTCTCGTAAATAATCCCAAAGGAGTATTGTGATGCTTTAGGAATTCATCCAGTTTTTTGTCAGTTGGCCGTTGATATCACAACTATTGTTCCTTATCTTTTGAAGATCAGTTAAGTTAAAATGTTCATATCGGTGTGCTTTACCTCTAGAAATTAATTTCATGTGAACTTTTCATATCTGTCTCGTCCCACTAGGAATAATTATTTTAATGACCTTCAGAAGTTCAGTTGGTTTTGTTCCCCTGCATATCTTGGTAATTCTCTGTGGCAACTTGTACATGTAGCTGTTTTTCTGATCTTTAGAAATGTAATTATGTTGCACTTTCTCCTACGTCCCAGTGGGAATTGCCGTGGACTGGATCCATGACAAGCTCTTCTGGACTGACGCAGGCACTTCGCGTATTGAAGTGGCCAACCTGGATGGCTCCTACCGTCGTGTGATCCTGTGGCAGAACATGGAGAAACCCCGAGCCATTGCAGCATTTCCCCGACAAGGGTCAGTGGGCCACTCACAGCTATTTTGTGGATTTAGATTTTTAGCTGTTTACTGAGAATGGATAATGAATATTATTGCTTGAAATTTTAATCTCGTTTATAAACAGAGTGTTAGGATTTTAAATGTTTTACCTCTGTTTGCTCAAAGTTTTTGCATGATTTTATTTCAGTCAAAAATTCAGGCTTCGTATTCTTCTCTATTTGCTTTTTTTAACAAGTTCTTTTATTTATTATTTGTAAAAGAAGCAATATTTCTGACTAATGTTTCTAACGACAGATAGGCTTAAGTGACAGTGTCTGAATATTGATTCTTTTTTCCTTTTAATCCAGTGCTTTCAGGTGGAGAAGAATATTTTTCTTAATTGTATTTTGTGAGCCAGCTGTTAAAATGTTCTAAACCCTAAATTTTGACCAAAAAATTTATTGCAGTTTCATAATCTGTGATATCGATTGCATATGTGCTCAAGAAATATTTTGTCGAAATTCACATTTTAAATGTTGAAAAATGCAAGGACAAATACATAATTTAGGTACGGCTGTTAAAAGAATGAAACCGTTTTTTTTTTGGGGGGGGGGGGGGGGGGGGGGTTTGCTCCTGGGGAATTTTGTTTTCTGGGCTTGGTACATTTCAATACCTTGCCGACTATTTGCTTGCTGAAAGAGATTTACTTAAGGTTTCTTTGTGTGAACCTTTCTGTCAGGTATCTTGAGAGATTGCTTTTGATTCTGCTCAATGAGTACTGAAATCAAGTAAAGTATTCTTCATTCAGCTATGGGCTGTTTCTTTTAATATTTTTCATACTTCTCTTGAAATAATCTGTTTCTGTCCATTTTCTGTTGCTAGGATAATATTTTGGACTGACTGGGGCAGTACCCCAAAGATTGAGCGTGCAGGAATGGATGGAAGTCTTCGCATGGTGCTGGCCAACTCTTCTCTCTTCTGGCCCAACGGCCTCACGGTCGACTACGCTGCTGAGAGGCTGTACTGGGCAGATGCCAAGCATCATGTGATCGAATGTTCCAACCTCGACGGCTCCCACCGCAGAACAGTCATCAGTGAAGGTTTGTTAGAACATGTGAAAGCACGGTAATGTTTGTGAGACCTGACAGCATCTTTGTTTGATCTGCTTTGCCTTTAAGGGAGTTAATAGTTTTTGCTGTACTGTGATGAAGAAATAGTCTCTGCAACCCATTCTTATCAGATTTTTATTAACTTTTCCCCTGTGATGTTCAGCTTCAGATAGGATGTAGATTTAGAGAGGATGGTAAAAAGAAGGCTTACGCCTTTGAGCCCTGACCTCCTGAGGCTGCCATGCCCCTCTGCCTGAGCTCCTGAGCGATATATGACTCACATTTGTATGATTGTCAGAATCATATTCCATATCCCACTCAGGGTAGTCCTTGTCATTAGTAGCATCTAATTCAGAAAGATTTTCCAAAAAATCAATAGCGCCTTGCGTAGTAAACACTGTTTTTCGTACGCGTTTTATCTCAGGCGGGATGGGTTTGAAATGGGGTCTCACTCACCGGTGTTCCGGTGGTTAGGCATACGGGCAGTTTTATGCGCCACCAGTGTGCCAGTGGCAAGGGCTCAAAGGGTTAATAACCGCTAACTCCCTCCCTTTCTACTTAAGTACTCAGTCCATGTACTAGTTTTATTGTTGTTATAATTTCTATTAATTGATCTGTCGACAATTCACACTCACCCGAACTCAAACCTCAAGTCTCCATTCTATATACTTCAAAGCTTCATTTTATTAGTTTCCTTATTTACTTTCTGTCTGCTGTTCTGTTGCTTCTAGCGATCGAAGAGTTTTTGATAAATGCTTATTTTGTTGTGACCAACTGACATCTTGATCTATAAGGTCGTCATTATCTACTCTCCTCTGTAGCCTCACACTTTTAAATCTAGGAAAAACCCCAGCTCAGTGGGCTGTTACATGCTTAATAAAAAAAAATCCTTGCATTTATGTAAACTCATTTTTTTCTTGAACCAATTTTAAACATTCTCATATTTACCCACAGGTTTACCTCACCCTTTTGCCCTGACTATATTTGAGGACGAGCTGTACTGGACGGACTGGTTCACCAAAAGCATCAACAAAGCTGACAAGTTCAGCGGCAGTCATGTGGAGACCGTACGCTCTAGCCTTTTCTTTCCCATGGACATACACACCATGCACCCGCAGAGACAGCCCCCAGGTGAGTTTACGCTTCTCATTTATGCCTTTTTGTTTGGTCCCTGCTTCCTATAAAAGAGCAGGATGATAGACCAAAGTAAATAACGCACATGTACTTCTGAACTTACTCGACCCTATATGCAAGAGTCACCAAACTACAGAGATTCAACCCAAGTTACATTTTTCAGGGACACGTTTGCTGGAAGGCTGGAAACTTGTTCGAATCATTAAAATACCTTATTTTCTATCAACACCCCCCCCCCCCCACCACCACCACCACACACACACACACACACACACACACACACACACACACACACACAAATGCACACATTTCTCTGTGTGATGGGGGGCATTGTGTTATCTAAAGCCTCCTTTAACTCTCCATATATTGTTCAGTTAGATAAAAGGTACTTTTCATCTTAATGCTTATCCTGGATCGATAACAACTACAACTACAACAATTACAACAACTACAACAACTGCAACAACTTAATGCATGTCATGAACACAGTGTGGATGTTCTTTCCTTCTGTCTGACAGAAAAGAACAAGTGTGGCTCTAACAACGGAGGCTGCAGTCGTCTGTGTCTGCCCCACGAGAGTGGCTACACCTGTGCCTGCCCCACTGGACTCATGCTGGGCAAGGACCGAAACACTTGTGCTGAAGGTGAGTCACTGGCATGTCAGTTTAAAGCTTTTAGTACAATTGTGCCAGGCCGCAGTATGCGCTCATTACCGCTGGAGTCACCAGCTCAACAGGCACACCCTACATATTTGAACAACGAAGGGAGCCACTGCCCGGAAGTAAATATCAAAGGAAGTCACTCTGTGTGATAGCTGAATGGTTGATGAAACTCCGTGAATTTTTAAATTAAAACTTTAAAAAATTCTACCATGGTGTCAGTGTTCTAAACTGGTGCGGTACTTGAGGGTTTTTCATTATATGAGCCTTTGGTACTGTGAGTGTTAAGACGGACCTTGGCTTTTATTTATTTCTATTTGTGTAAGTCAAACTCCTTCAGTGCCAATGGGTGAGTGGAAGTTTCAGCAAATTTCTCGTTATTGAAATCAATAAAATGTTATCTTTTCTCTCTTTAATTTAGGCATGTAAAAACTTGTGGCTTAGCTGAATGTGTACGTGGCCAATCTGATTTGACCCGCCTTCTATCTTTTTCCCCCCTCAGTTCTGGACAGCTTCATCCTGTTCTCCACCCAGACAGATGTACGCCGGATCTCCATCGACGTGCCAGAACTGACCGATGTTGTGATCCCCCTGAGTGGCCTGGACAGTGTGGTGGGAGTGGACTTTGACAGTGGCACCAACTCCATCTTTTGGTCAGACATCGGAGTGGACAGCATTGGGCAGGCCTCCTGGGACGGCAATGATGAGCAGGTCAGTGGTGGCTGGCTCTCTCGACTTGAGACTGCTGTGTAGACTGTGAATTAATTATAGCTGACTCAACTTTAACGACCTCTTGTCCAAGACAGTGATTTGAACAAAAGACCGCTTCCATCTTCCCTCCCTGTGTTTTTTCTGTGGTATAATTACACTGATCAAAAGGACCACCTGTCTGAAATGAATACATTTTCTAAACATATAACAATAATAATAATATTAATACTAATAATAATAATTCTAATAATAAAAGTAATAGCTCATCTGTCAATGTCTGATGACAACCAATTTCTTCAATAGTAGGTGGCGAAAGCACACAGTCTGTTTCCTCCAATAAGAAATATAAAAAAACCCCCAAAAACAAGTATTTTATTATCTTACAAAATCTCCCCATCCCATCCCCCCATCCCAACAGCTCATCGCAGACACCAGCCTGGACTCCCCAGCAGGCATAGCGTATGACTGGGTAGGCCGTAACCTGTACTGGACGGACAGCGGCAACGACCGCATCGAAGTGAGCAACGTCAACACCAAGATGAGGACGGTGCTTCTGTGGAGAGATCTGGATCACCCTCGTGACATCGTGGTGCATCCCCGCCTAGGGTATGTTGTACTCAGCCGTACACTGACAAAACGCCTTTTATTAAAAGAGATAAAGAGGCTTTTCGTCAGCGTAAACATTTAGTTGTAAACGGCATTTTTTCTAAATTTGAACTCTAATATATTCAACGAAATAAAGAGGCTCTTTGTCATTGTAGACATTGAATTTAAAAAGGTTTTCTTCCGAAATTTAAATTCTTATTTATTCAAAAACTACTCTTGAGTTTCAGTTTGATTTTTTCACACAAGTAGGGTAACTGATCAAGTTTTCAATTTAGCAATTAAAAAAAAATTTTGGCGCCAAAAATGAAAAAAAAAGGCATTTTGTCAGATAACGCAGTACTGTACATGGTTTTTGCACCACCATTGTCACAATTTCTTAGATGTAACTCCCAGGGGAAGAGAAAGAGAGTTTGGCCAAGATCCACCTTGGACGGAGATCTAGAGGCAGGTTCCAGGAATATGTGTTTCTCTCTCTCTCTGTCTCTCTCTCTTGCTCTCTCTCTCTCTCACTCCCTCCCTCCCTCCAGCCGTGACATCGAACAGTGTTTACTAGTCTGCAGTTGCAGCTGCTGCTATTGCTTCTGCTACTGTTTCTTTTACCTTTACTACTGCTGCTGCTACCTCAGCTGAAGCTGCTGCTATTGCTAATGCTACCAGTTCAATTACTGTTGCAACAACTAGTGCTGCCGCTGCTGTTTCTTTTTCTACTGTTGCTGCTGCTTCTACTACTACTTCTGCTACTTCACTACTACTGCTGCTCTTTTTACTTCCACCACCACTACTACAACTTCAACTATTACTAATGCCAATATTGTGATTTCTTGTTTTAGCCTGATGTTCTGGACGGAGCTGGGCAAAACTGCTCGCATTGAGCGAGCTGCGATGGACGGCACTGACCGTCAGGTGATCGTAGGTCACAACACGACCTGGCCCAATGGCCTCAGCATCGACTACACGGATAATCGCCTCTACTGGGTGGACGCAGGCACTCACGCCCTTGAGTGCTCCTCATTTGATGGAACCAATAGAAAAGTAAGGCAATAACAATCTTTATCCATTATTCATATCCGTAAAGCATGGTCATTTTTCAGTGGAAGTGGTGCAAACACAAAACCATTGAGTGGGCTGTTTGTGGGTGCTTTGATGTAGTTTGCTCCTTCTTTCCTATCAAACATCTATATCATCCTTATACTTTCTTGTAACGCTTATAATTTTCAGCAGTTATATGACCTTATTGTGTCGGAAGTGCCGTAATACTCTTACTAAAACTAAACGAAACATTGATACTTCCTTCCCCGGAACACACAAACACTTTTAAAAAATGAAGCAAAAAAATTGACTATGACTATAACAATTATGTCTGCCATCCCCAGGTGCTCATCTCAGTGAATCTCCAGCACCCGTTTGGCGTGACGGTATACCAGAACTCTGTGTACTGGACCGACTGGCACACCGGCAGTATACACTTTGCCGACAAGGACACGGGGAGTAGCCAGGGGGTGTTGGCTTCAGGGTTTGGCCACATTATGGACCTCAAGGTTTTCCACAGGGACAGAGAGAATGGTGAGTAATAAACTGTATTTTGGCAGTGGAGATGTAGTGAATTTTTGCTGTACTTTAAGGTTTGATAAAAATGTTCTGCCCCTTTTCAGATTACTACTTTTGTCCCTTTTTGGTCTTATGCTTTGTGTGTGTGTGTGTGTGTGTGTGTGTGTGTGTGCGTGCGTGCGTGCGCATGCGCGCAAGCAAGCGTGCATATAGTCATATGAAACACTCCCAGTAGTAGTAAACGTTAATCGTGCTATTTTACTTTACTACAGGTATAGACAGATATTTCATTTTTTCGCTAGACTACATAGTGACTATGTAATTAATTTCGTGAAAATTTAAACTCATATAGGAAACATTTTCGTAGTGTATTATCTTAATTTTAAAGGGTAATGGTGTAACTTCCCGGTAAGGTTTGTTCCCCTTTGATTCGCTTTACTGTCGGTAAATGCCTTTGTTGTCCTGAAGTGTTTTCCGGCATCATGTACCTTTTTATTTGCAACATTTCCATATATACAGCATCTCGGCATATTTTGACATGAATTTGTGTTTGTCTGTTGGCAGTGTCCAGTGTGTGCTCTCAGAACAACGGAGACTGCAGTCACCTGTGTCTACTGGCCCCCGCCCCACAGAGGTACAGGTGTGCATGTCCCACCGGGCTCCTGCTGGGATCGGATGGCAAACAGTGTCAGACAGGTCTGTTCTCTTTAGTTTTAGTAGAGGTTTTACGGCGCTCGCAACTGCATAAGGTCATATGAGCGCCAAGGGTCTGTTCTCTGGAGAAACTTTTATGTTTTGTCCTCTTATTTATGATGAGGTTGGATAAGATTTATTTGTCCTTCGTATTAAAAAGTTAACTGCACTTGCACCTGCTTGTTTGACACAAACACTTACGCACAAATACACATGTGTACAAACATTAACAACAACCAGGCACATGTACTCGTGCATCCTTGACCACTTCCACGTTCTCCCGAGGTGACCCAGCCTCTCTTGTTCATGGTTACTCATAATGTACATCCTCCTTGAATGTTGACTTTACATTTGTCAGTGTTCTTGCTTCCTCTATCAACTTACTGAGAATTTTTCGATTGCAAATTTGTCTCCACTGAATTGCTACAGAGTCAAACGTAAGACCAAGCTCAACCTGACCCAACTTGGCATTCCTTTTGCTTTGCCTTTTTTATGTTGTAAATGGTGCAACTGTGCTGGCAAACTTTCAAATTATTTTTAAAAAAATCATTGACCATAGTTGGGGAAACAATTCGAAATTAAGAATTTTTGGGGGGTTTTGGTTTACTCAAAGCAACTATAACGATATGAAACTTTCTATGAAAGGGTATTTCTTGTTCTGAATGAAAGAAATAGTTCAACTTACTAGTAGTAGAGGGTGTCTAGCTGTCATTCTCCTTACTAATGAATTTATTTCCTTATAGTCGTATATTTATGTACGCTGCTCATATACTACATCTTTATACATAGTCTGAACAAGTATGTCATTATAGGCCTAATGAGCTGTCACATTTGTCTTGGTCAGAGATGCGCAACTTTCTGATCTTCACCCGGCGTCAAGATATTCGTAAAATCTCTCTGGAGGTCGAGTACTACATGGACGTGGTCATACCTGTGGGAGACCTCAAGAACGCCATAGCTATTGATGTGGACATTTTGGAAGGTTAGTGGTCATGGTTGTTTCTCCTTTTGTTTTCTTGAGCAATAAATAATACACCACGAGCTTGTAAGGCCTGTGGCAGTTATACCAGAGCCCCTTTAGCCGGATGTTTCAGGGTGACCCGGAATAGTCTTCATGGCTACCGTAGCGGTCGTTGTGGGAGTAAAACCTACCCACACCCTACAGGTACAAGAGGAAAGATAAAAGAAAGAAGAAAAAAATGGTCATGCTTTGATTCTTGTTTCTATTGCTGTGGATCAATATGGGCTCTGAAGGCGCCCCCTCCCCCTCTAAATTCTTTGGTCCTGTGGTGAGAACTTGTCCCTCACCAACCACGTAAATGTTCAGCTAGTTCAGAGTCCAGATAGGAAAAAGGTCTCACAAATGGATCTTAGATTTGATGTTAAATTATGGTAAGTGTGCAAAGCGTTCTGCAACATCATATGGTTATTTAAAATTTGAGATCATGAAGATTGAGCCATGACAACCTCTTGCTTTTCTCAAACCTCTCAGGGATGTGAATCGGGGTTATCAGCATTATATTCCAGTTTGATGCCTGCTGAGTTCACAGTGCGCCCTCACTAATTTTCAGGAGGCAATTTATTATAAAATATTGTGCATTTATTATTATGCATTCATTGAATATTTTCATGTTTTTAATTTTTTTAAAAGCTTTAAAAGCGTTCATTTTCTAATGCCCATAGAGAAATGTTTTTGTAGAAGGAGGGTTGTGTCTCTGAAGATTATAATAGAAAGCTTTCATTGCCTTCTGAGTCTCTGGATTTGTCGTTGACTTTAGAATATAACAGAATGATTTAGATATCTGACTCACATTCAAGTTTGTTCTCTTCTTAGGTAAAATGTACTGGACAGACACTGTACTTGATCGTATTTCTCGTGCAAATCTGAACGGCTCAAATGTAGAAAAAGTTGTGGAGCATGGCATACACACAGCTGATGGGTTGGCCGTTGACTCTGTCGGCCGTAAGATCTACTGGACTGATGATGGCCACAATCGCATCCAGGTTGCCAATTTGGATGGTTCCATGAGGACAGTGCTGATTTATCAAGAGCTGGAGAAACCCAGAGCAATTGCCCTGCATTATGACAAAGGGTGAGCTGAGATTTGAAATACCTCTTATCTTATTTCTCTAGCTCCTCCTGCCTATTCCGCAATGTGATGGTATCCAAATAATGGTAACCCTTTTTCCGTTAGTTAATAATTACATGCCCCTCCTGCCCCAAATAGTCAATATGATTATAGCCAATAGGTCTGTTGTATATAAGAAGGTGTTAATGATCCCCCTGAAGGTACAATAAAACTATTTGTTTCTTCTGTGTTCAGACATATTTTTGTGATGCTTAATTTTTTGTTGTTGATTTCTTATTTTCTTAGTTTTTTTGGTCATTATATGAGCAATTTAAAAAAAATTGATACAGAACTATTTGTAGAAAAGTTCATCACAGAAACAGTGTGTGGCTTATACAGGGCATGGTGAATATTTACACTGTGAAAGCTGTAACTGAAGTCTTCGGATGGCTATTCTGTCATACAGAATGCTGATTGCCATGCCAATGTTTTTGATCACAGAACATGCTTATGAATGCTTATAAATTTGCTTATTTTTTCCTTTGACTTTCTAAAATCAGATACATGTTCTGGACGGACTGGGGCAAACATGCACGCATTGAGCGAGCTGACATGGATGGTGGGAACAGAAGAATTATTGTCTCTGACCGTCTCATCTGGCCAAACGGCCTCACAATTGATCGACCAATGAACAGAATTATTTGGGCTGATGCACGAAATGGGGTGAGTATTCTCTTCTTGGATCATTTTTGCTCAGGTGTTTGTAGGGTTATAAATTGTTGTTGTCATGCAGCATGACACAGATTGTATAATGGTGAGGCACTTCATAATTGCATGCACAAGAAATTAAGTTAATTTGATTCCTGAACAAGAAATTTATTTTGTCAGGTGTCCCTGTTTCTCTAATGTGTCAATGTTGCAGTAAAACAATTATGATGAAAGTCCACATGATAATTAATGTCGTGTGAAATTGAGCCTTATATATAGATGAGATGATCACTGTAAGAAATAAAATCTCTGAGAAATGACATTTTTGAACAGTTTTTGAATTTTATGCTGCCTTTCTGACAAACATAAATGTTAATTACTCCTTTAGATGTTCACATGATGCAAAAGTTCACAATCTAGAAATGTGAATTTAAAAACATTTTTAAGGTACAATTTTCTGCAGCCTGTTCCTTTTCTGTAAGTGGTTGCATGGTCTGTCATATTTAGAGTACACTGGCAATACTGTCTTCTGTTCAAAGATGAAAATATGCTTTTCAAGATATAGTATCATAAAATTGTTGTTGTTATGTTGTTGTTATCGATTGAGCAACAGCTGGGCTCTCGCTCTTCTGTCCAATGCCATGAAGTGATAAGTGCAGGTTTGTTGCAGTTGCTGTAATGTTCCGTAGAGTGTGTTGTCAATGTTAGGTCTCGGAGGGAGAAGTGTAGCTCTGATGTCATTTAGGGCTGTACAGTGGAAAAGGTGATGTTCCACAGTCTCATATGCATAGTCACACTAAGGACACTTTGGGGGAAATTCTGGTTTTATTCTGTTCAAGTGAAAGTTGAGCTGTGTATGTTCTGTTCGAAGGCAGAAAATCGTGGTCTGTTTCTTTCTCTGTAGGTGGGTCATAATGTCATTTCTTTTTGTTGTAAAAAAGTTGTTAAGGAATAAAGAAAGTATATGATCAGTCCCATCTCTTGCTATAAGCACATGCATTATTGCCAATCTGCATACATACCGTTATAGAGGGATGCGGTGAACAGTAGGGAAAAGTGTATTTCCACCATGCTTCTCAGGATTCAATTTATTATAAAGTATTATGCATTTGTTATCATGTATTCATTAAATATTTTAGTGTTTGTCATAAAAAATTTTAAAGGGTCCATTTTCTGATGCCCATAGATGATTGCTTTAGAAGAAAGACGGTTGTGTCTCTGAAAATTTTAATAGAAAGCTTTTGTTGACTGATAAAATAACATCAGTATGGGGAAGTAGTCGTAACTTTTTTTGGGGGGGGGGGGCGCCTTTGGCTCAAAAGGTCCTTTTCTGTGTGTGTATATAGAAAAGTTTCGGTCTTGACTCCACCCATTGAATGAGAAAAAAAATGCCGTGAACCTTTATTTGTTTCCCTCGAACCTCTATTTGTTTCAGTAAAAATGTCTTGAACCTCTATTTGTTTCTGTAAAAAAAAAATGGCGTGAACCTTTATTTGTTTCCCTCGAACCTCTATTTGTTTCAGTAAAAATGCCTTGAACCTCTTTTTGTTTCAGTAAAAATGCCTTGAACCTCTATTTGTTTCAGTAAAAATGCCATGAACCTCTATTTGTTTCTGTAAAAATGCCTTGAACCTCTATTTGTTTCAGTAAAAATGCAGTGAACATCTATTTGTTTCAGTACATTGAATGTGCGGACTTGTCAGGCAAACACCGCCGTGCTCTGGTGACCAAAGTGAGCCATGCTTATGGACTGACTGTTGCTGGACAGTCCATCTTCTGGACCGACTGGCTGGAGAGCTCAATCCATCGAGCCAATAAGAATCTGGGAACCAACGTGACGAAGGTCAGAGACAACCTGCCAGGCATAATGGACATCCACGCTGTCCAGATCGAAGGCATCGGTAAGTACTCAGCCATCAACAGAGAATGAGAAATGTGAATTATAGCTTCCAAGCACGAAATGGGGAAGCGAAACTTGAAACTGATTTAAATAGGGTAGCCTGGATACCAGAGAAGTCTTTGATCAAAAACGGTGTGAGACTATGAGTTATCCATTAAACTTTAAGTTTTGTGAGTTTGAGATTGTGGATTAGGTTTTAAATGATAGACAGTGGTATGTATTTGTATGAGTTTATTTTATGTTGAAAAGTCGTTTTCTTTGCATATAATGATTGTTTGTCATTTTTAAAAAGGAACAACAAAGTTGTCATTTTATATCTATTTCTTTGGGAAAAAGTTTCTACTGTAGGCTCATAAGATTTTACCAGTGTTGTGACCTCAATATTCATTAAAGTCATAATCTGAATACAGCATTCAGAACACCATTATGATCATTATTATTTCTAGTATTCAAACTGCAAAAGAGAGACTGAAATGATACATACTCTGTCTCATTTTTAAGTATACACTGTGTTAAAATGAAAATCGGCACCATGAGCCGATATTCTTAAAAATTTCAGGAATAGTAATTCAATCAATTTAAAAAACTAAAAAAATAACAACAATACCAAAAGTTAACCTAACAGGTTTATTCCTGACTTACAAAAGTGTGGAGGTGGTCTACAAAAGTAACACGATCAGTAGCGCGTAAGATGTCCCCTTACATTGATGACGGCCTGATATCGTCGCCGCATGGAATCAATCATTTGCTGCACTGCAACGCTATCTCAAATTGAGGAAGTGTCTGAGGCTGGTTTTGTCACATGTTTTTCAACTCATCTCTGGTTTGTCTTGTCGTTTTAAAACGATTCCGTAGATGCGACAGGGGTACTGTATAGAAAGATCCTCTCTTGGAGTAGTTTTTCTTCTCTCAAGTCGACAGGGTCGATCCTTAGGTGATTCAGTAGATCTCTCACGATCCATTGTTGCGTACACAGGTCTTCTTGTTAGATTAAAATGTCTTGCACCAGTGGATAAGGAGACACCTCTACTGATCATTCCAACAAACTGATTTCGCACATTTTCTCTTAGGCGTGGCATCATGAAACTTAGACTTAGACAACACAAGTTTTATCACTTGCGAAATGTTGCAAAAATGAAAAAGCTTTGATGTGCACTTCTTTTTTAAACAACTAATTTCCGTGCCATGAGTTATTTTTAAAGAACCGGAAACATGTAACACGCATGCAGTAACAAAACCACTTGCACGTTCAGAAATCTGAAAACAACTCACCAGTGACAGGTATTTCACGTACTCAGTGGGAAAATTTGAAAGTAATTGGTAGCATGGATTTTTTTTACTGAGCTTTAAAATGTGTTTACTTAAAAATGTGACAGAGTATATATATATATATATATATATATATATATATATATATACTATCACTAACACAAACTGAAAAAGAAAGAACATTGGAAATATATATTGCTTTGAGAAGTACACCTTCTAGAAAAAGAAGAAAATATTTATTGCTGCTACACTGAAAGAATAAGAATTGGAGATGATATGTTGCTATTATTAAAAGCACTTTAACTTCCTAATTACACTATTACCAGAACTGCAAAAAAGAAAGAGAATGTAAAGTGATGTGGCTTTCTTGATCATTTCCCCTCAGCTACTCACGTGAACCGGTGTGGCAAGAACAATGGAGGATGTAGCCACTTATGTCTGCCACACCCGCGGGGGACGACCTGTGCTTGCCCGACTGGCATCCTGATGAAAGAGGACGGCAGAACCTGTCATGAAGGTCAGTCCTGGCTTTCTTTGCTTTTTGTACTAGTTTTATTTCTTGATGTGGACAGGTCATTGTGAAGGTGGACACTGTGTCTTGTTTTGTAAAAGTTGAAAGGAAAGAGGAGAGGAAAAGAAGGATGAGACAATACACAAAATAAGTATCACAAATCCTGATCATTCTGGAGGTGGACACTGTGTCTCGTGGTAAAAGTTGAAAGGAAAGAGGAGAGGGGAAAAAAGGATGAGACTAAGAACAAAGTAAATATCACATGTCCTGATTCTCTGAGTCTTTTCTTGAGTAGTTAGCACTATCATACAGATCCTTTTGCCTTTTCATTCAGAAATTATAAAGAGAAAAGTGACTTAGAGCAGGGATGTAATTTTGTAATTTTTCCTTGAGTCAGCCCAGGGATTGTCTCATTCCATCAGATTATTGAGCTGTAGTTTATGACAAGTTGGCTCTGGGACAGCCATATTTGTTCATAACACAGTTACCTCTTATAATGAGGCTTAAGAATTTCACTTGTTGCCTTGTGAATTGTTTAGGAAAGTTTGTTTAGTTGCATGAGACTTAAATGAATTTATTTAGTGGTTTGTCGGTGCCCTTGTGTCTTCTGCTCTTTCTCTTTCTTTTCAGTGTTACTGTTTGTCTACTCCATTTGCGTTAGAATGTGGCTGATATTTGGCTGACTAGCAAGAAACTGCCTCTAAGCCACTCAGAATCTGTTGCTCATCTTGTTTCACTAATGTCCACAGTGCCTAGCAAGTATTTGCTGTTTGCGGCCAGGGGTAGCATCCGGCGTATCTCGCTGGACACCGCTGACCACACAGACGTCTACCTGCCCCTGCCAGACCTTCACAATGTCATTGCCCTGGACTTTGACTACAAAGAGAGCACTGTGTACTACACCGATGTGTACTTGGACGTCATACGGTCAGTGGTTTTGGTTTTTGTTGTGATGATTCAAGTTTTCTTGTTCAATGGCCAAGTTTAAGACATGCGTACTCCGCTTTTAGCAGAGACAAAAGTTTCATTATTAATAGATATTTATATTGAATGGCATGACTTTACTGGCTCTGTAACCGATAGACTGAGTTGTTCTTTTTCCCTTAAAAGATTTCTGGCTGTAAAGTGGTAAAATATTTAATGTTCGCTTAATTATGCTTTTATTCTTTTCATAGACACTGAGGAGCTTTAATCCAGTGGGTAATATATGGTCAAATAAATTTTTCGAGTCTTTTTTTTGCAGTTTTGATCTATTAAATATACATGGAGATCACGAAACTTTGACCTACAGAAATAATACTTTTTTTGTGCGATATAAAAACGCAAATGCTTAGACAATACTTCTGTTCCTGTCCACAGGCGTGCATCCCTAAATGGCAGTCAATGGATGGAGACTGTGGTGCAGAAAGAGCTAGCAACCACTGACGGGCTTGCTGTGGACTGGATAGCTCGCAATTTGTACTGGACAGATTCAGGTAAAAGCCTAACTTCACTTTTCATCTGCAGCAGATAAATGAATAATACAATGAGGTCATGTCATGAGTTTGGTGAAACTTGTCACTTTCCTTGTACGATCCATTCTTTTCCATTCTTGATAGGGTTTTTCTTTTTTTCCCCTGTCAACTGTAAAATGCCTGCATGATTTTATGTCATCATAGTTTTCACTTGTAATGGTAAAAGTGTTTGTGTTGTCTCACACTTCTTTTCAACTCCGGATATCGTGACAGAACGAGGGAGAAGGACTTGGTCTTATTTCTGAATTATTTGACAGCTTATTTGGTGACTTATGTGATAATCCTACCAGTTTTTCAAAGTACCTTCATCCCAAAGTTTTTGAGAGTCATACCATAGTGAAAATGTTTTCTGTTTGTGAGTCTTGAGACTGTTCACGCAGCATATAAGGTTTCATACCACGGGTTTAAAGGGAAACTTATTGCGAAATAATGTTTCAATGAACATTTTTCTGGCAAGTTATTTCAACTCATCACCACAATGTGTCAGAAACTAATATTGACTTGAAGGTCGTGTCTGTAAAACATAGCGAAATTTAATTTGAAAGTGCACAAAGTGCAACATAAACTCTTTTGATTGACACAACAATTCAACCCTTGCTCTGTCCAGGCCATGATGTCATTGAGGTGTCCAGACTGGACGGGTCCAGCAGAAAGACGCTGATTGATGCTGATCTGTTGGAGCCTCGAGCCATCGCTCTGTTCCCCAGGAAAGGGTGAGTTGCCTCACTGACAGCCCTATTGTTTCATCTGCAGTGATTGGCTCAGTTTCTCTGTCTTTCGGGAAGGTACTGACCAAAACTATTTGCTTGTCATTTTAAGTGAAATTGTTGAATTTGAATATATGAGGGCAGGTAATTACACTGTCAGAGAAATGCATTCTCCTCACTGGTCAGTTGGCAATATTCTTCGCATTTGCATTTCGTCTGCATGTTGTTCAAATGTCCTTAGCCCAGAAAACAAAAATTTTTACAGACAGAGAACAAATTGTTTCATTCTTTGAAAAATTGTACCTATGTTATGTATCTTTTTTGCTTCTTTCAACTTTTAGGATATGAATTTCAACAAAAACATTTCTTCAGAACGTGTAACCAAAACCACAGATTTAAAAACTACAATTTTTAACAATTCAAAATTTTGGTCTTAGTACATCTGAACATCTGGCTAATGATATGGATATTTGGAATGAGGAAGCAGATGTTAATGGCTTTGTGCGTGAGTAGAGAGTGCAGTTATTGATCAGTGACTCGACTCTTGTCTGGGGCAGATGTCGATGTTATAGACATGATGCACCCTGGAGTGTTGTGGTTTGTTCTCCTTTCAGTCTTAGTTAAGTGCCTTCCACTCTAATCAGCAGAAGTCATCTACAATTATTTACATTGTTCTTCCAACAGATATTTCAAACTTATTTCTACCCCCCAGGGCGGTGCCACTGACTGAAGTGTCTTTAGGCCATTCCCAAAGGGGGGACATTTCTTGTTCATGCACAGTAGAATTGTAAATGGGCTGATTCATCAATGTCACGCTCATAACTGTGCCTGATCTACAACAGGGAACTGCTGCTTTTTCTTTCCTAATCCTTTCTATTGTCATATTTCCTCTACTTCTTTTGTATGTTTGTCACACTCTTGTGACCCACTATTTCCCAGATGCCTTGATAGTCAAAGCGGACTTTGTGTTGTTGAGGCTAGAGAGGTGAGCAGAGTAAGTCTGATTCCCTGTAAGGACTTCTCTGTTGACATCCACCCCTTGGCGCTCATATGACCTTATGAAGTTGCGAGCCCCGTAAAACCTCTACTAAAACAAAACTCATTTCTGTCTCTGTCTCTACAGACTCATGTTCTGGACTGATTGGGGCATTAGACCAAAGATTGAGAGAGCTTATCTGGACGGTTCAACTCGCAAAGTCATTGTGGACACAGTTCTTGGTAAGAATACTTGACATCTTGAGGGTTTTTTCTATTAGATCATTGTTTTTTGGGTTTTTTGATGCACACCACCACCATCCATTTTAAAAGTATTTTTATGGTATATGAAAATCATCTTGAATTGTTTCTCTTTAATTCTGACGAACTGAATATTTAAAATAAGATTTAGGTAACTGTGCTAACGTTCTGCCTTCTATTTTTTCTGTGAGGGTATAAGGTTCCTCTGCCATGACATCTCAGAAGAGAGGTGAATTGAAGGGATGCAAAGTGATAAGTGGTAAATATATGAAAATACCTCCGATAGCTTCTGTACATGACCTTTCTAACAGACAGGATACTATGCTGTCAAGATTAGAAAAGTTCTTCAAGCTTTATTGTCTGTGATATAGTCACTTTCCTTTTTTCTTTGCAACTGGTCTGAACTCCTTGTCAATCCATGTTCTTTTGTCAGGTTACCCGAATGCCCTCTCAATTGACTATGAAGCGATGCGGCTGTATTGGGTTGATGCAAAGCTAGACAAGATTGAGACCTCAGACTTAGCCGGACGGAACAGACTAACATTGCTGCAACAAGTTCCTCATCCTTTTGGTTTGGCTGTGGTCAGTATAACTCTTTGTTTGTTTACCTGTATGTGGTTCTCAGTATAACTCTTTGTTTGTTTACCTGTATGTGGTTCTCAGTATAACTCTTTGTTTGTTTACCTGTATGTGGTTCTCAGTATAACTCTTTGTTTCGTTAAAATATATTTTTCAGTACATTGTGTAATTTGATGGAGTCTCTCATTCATGTCATTAGATAGCTTTCTTGTTGATCAAGCCTGGCAAAGTTAATGCATCATTTTCCACTTTATCGAGTGGATTCATTGAATACTCTTTAGTGACTATGTACATTCCCCCATGACATCACTGCTAGTTGCAAAAGGGACTGTTGATTTGAGTGGGCATGTTGTTGCTGATTTTGTAAATTTCTTTTCTGTGTCGTCCTCATCTGCTCCCGATAGAAATACCCCTACCTCCCAAGACTTCATTGTGGGACCTACCTTCGAGGTGACTTTATGTGTTGAGTACAGAGTTTGACTCGTGCCAAATAGAAATCTAAAAACGACTTCTTTGTTTTTTAAATCTGTTTCATCAGTTTGAGAACTTCATCTACTGGACCGACTGGCAGACGGAGCTGGTGGAGCGAGCGGAGAAGATGAGCGGGGCGAACCGCCAGACAGTACAGAGCAGGCTGGAGGGTCTCATGGACCTGCACATCGTCTCCCCTCTACGCCAGACGGGTCAGTGGGTCAATCAACTAATGTGTTGTTGTTATATGTGTATGTGTACGTGTGTGTGCATGCGCGCTCAGTAATTCCTTTGTAGTGCTTGTCAGCAAAACCAAGTCACAGTCTCTTTTGGGTAATATGCGAGCCCAGTCCTCCTATGTTTTCCTCCCTGTTGTTGTTGTTGAAGTTATAGGAAGGATAGGACTGCTTAGGCTGACAGATGAACTGAGCAGGACGGCCCATTTTATCACAGATATCACACTGCAAGTATGATGCGATCGAGAAGAAGAAAAAGAAGAACTGTTTACACATTGCTATCAGAAATAATGTCTTGGTGCTGTGTATCCATATACACTCTGTAAATGCTTTATGGATGTAAAACAGAGTCAGTCACTTATCTCCTGTGGACGCTCTGTTATGCTGTACCAATGTGAAACAGGATCAGTTACAGCAGACCTTGAACAGGAAAATAAACACTGGAAACGAAATGCTGTTGACAATTCTGAGATGCCCCACAAAGACCACATTAGGAATGAAACTTAAGAAACTGAGGTGGATTGAAATATGGGCTACTTTGGTTCTACAAATAGCTAGACTAATAAGCTGCTTCTCATACTGTTCGAAAAGATTGTTCATTTGAAGTCATAGTATTATGCGACTAATTCAACTATTGGCTAATTCTGATATTGTGCAACTCACATTGTGAAGGTGTTTTAAATATGCCAGAGGTCAGACTTATTGCTAAAATAAGTAAAATCAAAGTGACCCACCTTCGCACTCTGTACATGATGAGCCCACCACTCTGTCTGATAACTGTGTCAGTGTGCCAACAAGTTTACAAGTCATAAAAACGATACCATCATGGCCTGGGTCAAAGAGACTAGAGATTATGACTTTTATATTTTTTTTCATTATTTCATCTTTCATATAAACATTTATTTATAAAAAATTTTTTTACTCAAAACTATTTAATTAATAAGACTATTGAATGGCATAGGTGGTAATTGTATCGCTTTTTCTCTTTTGTCTGGCAGCGTAAAAAAAATTCTAGCTCAATGAGGAATTTACCGATGCCCACGAGACTTTTTATGGCACTTCTACCACCAAACAAAAATATATTTTTTAAAAATCTTGACCCAGTAATAAAAAAGTTTTTCTCTTTGGTCCCTATATTAAAAACTGCTCTTGGGATGCATAAACAGGATCACTAAAATAAATAACTTACAGTAGCCTTGCCTCTTAATTGCTCATTTTGAGACAAACTCACCTCGTTTCATGAATCGTGTTTCTTAGGTGAATGTTAAAGAGTGATGTTAAGGAAAATGTGTTAACTTTTAAATGTTTTAGGTGTGTGCTGTAAATCCCCTTTTATTTTTTTTACCTGCTTTAGGCTTACATCAAAGAAAACGTGTCAGACCCCTAGTTTGCAGTGACTTTTGTGTTGGTCTTTTAGATCTGTTGATTGCTTAACTTTTAGACGTGGGTGGTTGGCGGGTGCTCTGGTGTGGTTTGCTCCTTCTTTCCTATCAAACATCTATCATCCTTATCTCCCCTCCTTCTTTTTTTTATGTTTGTTACTCTCTTGTAACACCTCTATTCTTCTGGCGCTCATATGACCTTATGCAGTTGCGAGCGCCGTAAAATCTCTACTAAAACTAAAACTAATTAACTTTTAGACCCTAGTGCTAAGACACAGAAAGATTAAACAGAGCAATTTGTTTCTATCCCGTTTTAACCGCTGTCAGCCGAAAGTGAACGAGCTATAGTACGTTCATTGTATGTCCTTTTCTTCTTTATTCAAGGCACCAACAACTGCAGTGCTAACAACGGGGGCTGTACTCACCTGTGCCTGGCCCGCCCTGATGGCTACGTGTGTGCCTGTCCAAACAAACAGGACGACCGACCATGCAGTGAAGGTAGGAGGACCGTAAACGGTGTTGTTTTTTTGTAACCCCACAGCCAAATGGGGGGTTGATGAGTGTTCCTGTGTGGTCTGCTCTTCCCTCTTCATTTTATTAGGTATTGTTATCCTAATTTTTGGTGGTATATGATCACTTTAGTACTGATTCAGCATGAACTTCAAGTTAAGTTTACTGTGCTCGAAATTTTATTCATCATATGTCGAAATGTCAGCTGAGGGAACTGCCCCTTGATGCTGGAGATTGTATCATTCGTCAAGCAACTTTGGGTGTTAAACAACATTTCCATCTATTATCTCATTGTTCTCATTCAGGTCAGCCTTTTATAATTACTTCAACCTCAGTTCCCATATTTTCAGCCTTCAGTTCTGTATAGTAGTTTGGAAAACTCCATTGGCTCCTTCTGGAAGGTTCTATATAAGAAACCAGTAATTTCAATTTGTTAATAAATGGTTATGGTATTGTACTGGTCTATATACAACTTCTGCCATGCTAACAATGCTAGAAGTTTATTTTTATATTTAATGTAGTTTGTTATGCGAAATTGACATACACGTGAATATGTTATCTTTAAATGTGATCTAAGTAATTTGATGTGTGCAATTTTGAGTCAAAAGTTCCTTGGACATTCCAAACTGAAGGTTGTTTTTGCTTTTTTTCTATCGCTTTTTTATCAACACATCAAAGAGAAAGAAAAAAAACGTTCATTCTTAAATCCATTAATTTTTCTTTATGGATAAAGAGAAGACAAGCAGCGTGTGCAGAAATTCATCCACTAATGAGATTGATTTCCTTTTTCAGTGCCATCGTATTCTGTACAGGAGGGGTCCAAAATTGTCAACATTGACATCAGTTCTGTGCATGAGTAAGTCACAGTTTGACATTTGTCATTTTCGTTTTTTTAAATGATGTTTTGAGTTAGAATGGAGTTGAGTTTTTATATATATATATATTTTTTTTTATTGAAATTTTTAAAAAAGTAAAAAAATTTAGATCTAGTAATAGTGAAGGTTGTTTTTAAAATGTTGTGGATCAGTAAAGCTGACTTGACGGTAAGTACGTTATCTAATCATGGCTCTTACAGGGGGCTTTCTGACATGGCTTACCAGTACAATATTTGTGTCAGGCGCTTGTCAATTTTTGGGCATCTGCAGTTATTGGTATCAAATTAAAAGTTATTAATATTTGCCTTGCTTTCGAAGAAAAGAATTTCCATCTATCTTGAATAGAAGTCAAGATTATGTTTGAAGGAGGCGGGGGTCGCTTGGTTTGAAAGTTTAAATTAGATAGAAAATGGCTGCTAAAATTCTGCAATAGTTTGAGAATCCTAAAACACTGAAAATGTACATATTTAAATGCCTTAAATCAACATTTTTCAGTAAATTTCACATGAAAATGTAATTTTATATGGATATAAAAGGTATTGAGCCAAAAACCAAAAATTCAATAAAAATTGCCGAACTTGCTAAAAAAATGCTCGCTTCTTCGATTTCATTATTTTGATGAGTGCCTGATTTCTCCATGATGCCTCACCCTTTGTTTGCCGTTTGCTATCATCTGTGCCTTTATTTTTCTCCTTTTCTGAATTTTTTTTCCTTCTGACCTCTTGTGTGAAGAATCTGCCATAGAATTGATTTATGTACATCTCATAGGGTGTTATACACGTACAAACCCCCCCCCCAAAAAAAAAGGAAAAAAAAGAAAAAAACCCCAAAAAACAAACAAACAACATACAAAACAAATGAAGCATCACTGGAGTAGTTTTAGCGCCCCATTGGGTAATTTTTGTAGTCGAGACGGACGCAGTAACATCATGGTACATCTTCTCATACTCCTCAGGTGTTCTGAAGAAGACAAAGAGCTGGGGGTATGTGAGGACCAGCCCCACTCACACAGTGGTTCTGGTGAGTTTGTACCTCTGTACAGGATATAAAGCTCACCGTTCACCTTTTAGATAATTTAGATACAGTAGTTTGACCATTATTCCTGCAGTTTGCCAGTAGATTGGATTTGGGCTCTATGGATATTTTCATCCTTAGTATTTATTATTAAAGTAATCTTTAAAAATTGTGGGATTTATCTTCTAGTTTAAAGTTGTTCACATTATACTTTATGTATTTGTGTGTTCTATAGCGTATAAATATTATCTACAATAGATAGAGAGAAAGAGAAAATGGAAATGTTATTCTATCTATCAAGAATATTTTATCAAATGTTTTATTCTGTCTGTAGCCATTAAAATTTCAGTTTTATTGTGAACGTTAGTAAGTTTTTATTGCACTCTATATTTTTTAGAGAACGCATTGCCAGGCTCACTGTGTGACTAAATTTCCCATATAATTTTTTAGTACATATACATTATACTATGTTTTACGTACGGACATGTCTGTTAATTTTTAAAATATGATATCTTCATTAATGTAATACGCATTGAGCATTTTTTAGAAAATGGAAATTTCCTGCTTAAATGCTATTTTAAACAATATTATTTGTCCCAAAGGTTGAACTTTGGGACTGATCTTGTCTTTAGGTTTGGACATTTAGTACTTCTTTCTCCCAGAACAATGAAAGAAAGGAATGGCAAAATGTGATCAGTTATTATTGCAGGATGGCAGATAGGAATGTTCCTTTCCATTGGTGTCCTGTTGTATACCCTCATGCAAGGATATTATCAAAATAGTGTTTCGATTTCTCATAGTTATATATTATTTAATGTGTTTTAGATTACTTGAAGCATTATTTCTGTTTTCTCTTTTTTTTAGACTCTAATATTGTATTCTGTTGATGCTGAATGAGGGCACATTTACGTTTTTCGGCTGTTGAAAATTTTGCTCTTTTAAAGGTTTTCCCTTGCACTGCCCCTCTTTCTTATTTAACAGGCCATGATTCTGTAAACTTAGAAAAAAGACAGGTTTGTAAAAACGTTTTTTTCATCTATCTGTGATCATAGCAGTTAAAAAATTTTTCTTCTCCTTTATTTTAAAAAATGTTTTTTAATTTGACGGATTGTTTTTTTTTTCTGTTTTGAAGGGAGTAAGATTGAATGTTTTTGTGAATGTAGCCCTTGTACTTATATATCATCCATCATCTCAATTGACAGTCAACACAGAGAATCACGAGTCCTCAGACAATGGCCCATACGTCGCTGTGGCTGTTGTCCTTAGTGTGCTACTCATCTTTATCTTGATTGCCTTTTTCATGTGGAAAAGGTGAGTCCTGTCGGCTGTAGACATGCAGTGAACTGTGTATGTTTGATGAGGTTGTTTTGTCACTAGTGCGGAGTGGGGTAGCTGGTGGGAGCTCTGGTATTACTTGTTCATTCTACTTCTCAGTTTGTTTTAGTAAATGTTTTACGACACTTGCAACACAGTAAGGTCATATAAGTGCCGAAGATTATAGGTATTACGAGAGAGTAACAAGCACAAAAAAGAAGAAGGAGAGATAATGATGATAGATTGTTGATAGGAAAGAAAGAGAAAACCACACCAGAGCTCCTGTCAACCATCCACCTTCTCCTCCTTGTTGCATGTGCTGATGTCTGTATTGATGTTAAATGCTCAGGCTACTTCTTTCAGCGTTCTGAGTGGTTAGATTTATTTTTATGTGGTCAATCTGCTCATTCTGCTTCTTTTCTGTGGGTGCTTGGTGGGTGCCCTGGTGTGGTTTGCTCCTTCTGTTCTATCCAGCATCTATTGTCCTTATCTCTCCTTGTTTTGTTTTTGTATTCTACTCTTTAGTAACATCTTTAATCTCCGGCTGTTATATAATTCATTTGTGTTGTAAGTGCTCTAAAATTCTTATTAAAACTAAGAATTAAACTTCTTGTGTGAGTTATGGATGGGCCATGTGTGGAGCTGTGGTTGAATGGAACTTTGGTGTGGTCTGTTTATTCTACTTTTTATAGGTTAATATACATACATGTAGTTCAAATCTGCTCATAGGGAGCTGTGATCATTAGTAGCTGTCTTCATCAACTCAACAAATGGGTATGGAATATATGAATATCTTTGTCTGAAGAATTTTTATACCTTATAAGTGTTACCGTTGTGTGTCTTGTCATAAATATGATACGGCTAGGCATGAATTTGTTGTCATTTTCATCACTGTAAGGTCATTCGAGAGGATGAAGCTCCTATTTTAACTTGAAGACATATTGGTTGTTGGTTTTTGAATTGATAAGTGTTGCTGATTAAAGTCACTATAGAGATTTGGGGTCGATGTTAATGACTGGAACATAGGCTGCTGACAAGATGCCAAAGGTGGAAGTAAACAGAAAATCATAGAATAGCTTTATTCTGTCAGAGACTCTTCATACAAATCTTTTAACTTTTGTTTCCTTTGTCTGTCAGAAGAGTGCACATTATTAGATTACAGTGATAATAATCTAGGAATTATTACATTTCTTTCTTTCAGACACCGAAGGCGACATTACAATGTGGAAGAATTCTCTGCTCTGACTTATGCCAACCCAACCTACCAGCGAGCCAGCACGGAGACCATCAACTCAGAGAAGCAGCTGGGCCAAAATTATCCCCATTTCCGCTATCATGCAAGTGATGTGAGTAGAGGGTTGTGTGTCAAAGCCTATGTGTTGTTTATGCAGGGGTCCTCTATTGCCATGCACAGCTGTTTGGTTCGCTGTCTTTTCCAGGCACTTACTGGTGGCCAGTTTGAACTTTTTAACCCTGTAAGGCGATTGATAAATCTCTGCATGTTATTACTGTTTTTTTGGCTGTTTCTGGAGATGCTAACTTCATGCTGAAGGTGTAGATTTTCAGAAAACCAACCAGAATTTAAAACTTTTATGACATTTATCCTTCCTGTTTGCTGAAGAGGGTTACCAAAAATGAAAGCTCAGCATCTCCTCAATAGTTTTAAAATGAGAAGTTTAAAACAAATGATTTGAACAACAGGTTTTGCTTTGGCCTTCAGAGTGTGTTAAAAATTTATGCCAACTTTTGTGATGTAAAAAAAAAGTTGGAAGTAACTGATGATGATTGTGTGAGCCACCAGTCCATTTTACGTGACATGTATTGTTCAACATCCCATTGTATATCTTGATCATGATGTTGTTGTTGTTGTTGTTATCGATCCAGCAACAGCTGGGCTCTCGCCCTTCTGTCCAGTGCCATGCAGTGATAAGTGCAGGTTTGCTGCAGTTGCTGTAATGTTTCATAGAGTGTGTTGTCAGTGTTAGGTCTTGGAGGGAGAAGGATCTTGATCCTGAAAGTTTGTTTATATTCCCAGGAGCGACTGACCAATGGGCCCAGTGACACGGAGTCGATGTCTAGCCGTAAGGAGATGGCCGCTCTGATGCCGCCTCACCAGCAAGTGTAAGTGTTACAGTCCACAGTGTCAGAGATGTAGACTCTACATGATAAGTACATGGGAAATTTATTTTTTTATTTTTTTATTTTAAAGATAATTGTTTGTTGTTGTATGAGTTTATTACCCAACAAGACTCGCACTGCATCGTTATTGAGGGGTTTTGTTTTTACATGATGGGATCCATGGTCGACAGAGGAAAGTATCGAAAAAATGTAGGCTTTTGTTGCAGGTTTTTTAGTTGCTATTCTCCGTGCTCTGGTGTGAAATGAGTTTTGTGTTTGTTTCTTTTGCTTTTCTGGGCCCACCCCTAAGACCTAGGGATACAGGTAGTTGAAGGGTGTCACTGGTAGGTCCCTACTCCTTTTTTTCCTTTTGTATTTTTTTCAGTTTATCTAATAGTCTTTCCGTGGGTGGATGACGGGTGCTCTGGAGTGGTTTGCTCCTTCTTTCCTATCAAACAACTATTGTCTGTATCTCTCCTCCTTCTTTTTTGTGTTTGTTACTGGCTTGTAACACTTCTAATCTTCTGCACTTATAACGTTATTGTGTTGCAGGTGCCGTAAAACTCTTACTAAAACTTAAATAGTCTTTCCCTGCTCTAAATGTTTTCTACATTACTGTTATTTTGCTATTGTTGGATCTCACTTCTTTCTATTGGTAGTTTTTGTTTGTTTGTCTTACCTTTTCCCTACACTTCTCAACTGTTCTTCGATTGATCTGCTTCTCTTTACTCAAGTGGGTTGTTAGCGGGTGCTCTAGTACGATTTTCTCCTTCTCTCCTATCAAACATGTATCTCCCTTATCTCTCCTCTTTCTTTTGTTTGTATTACTTTCTAGTAACACGTCTAATCTTTGGTATTTATGTGACCAAATTGTCTTGCAAGTGCCGTAAAACTCTTGTTGTGGGTGGTTGGCGGGTGCTCGGGTGTGGTTTGCTCCTTCTTTCCTATCAAACATCTCTCATCCTGATCTCTCCTTTTTTTGTGTGTTTGTTACTCTCTTGTAACACCTAATTTTCAGCATTTATATGACCTTCTTGTGTTGCAAGTGCCATAAAACTCTTACTAAAACTAAAAACTCTTGTTAAAATATGAATCTCTTTACTCTATCCAGGCCGAGTGGAGGCCGGTCGGACGGTTCTGTTAGTGTGGCTGGGTTCAAGTCTCGATGGACTCGCCATTCGGAGGAGACAGAGGAAGAGCTGGATGAGCTGGAGGTAGCCGTGCCCTACAAGTCTGTGCTCCAGTGATCACCTCCTTCTCTCTCTCTCTTCATCTCCCTCTCTCTCTCTCCGTCCCTCTCTCCCCCATCCCTCCCTCTCCCTCTCTCTCTCTTTCTCTCTCTCGCTCTCAAGGCCCCCTGGTGGTGGAGGAGGCGGAGGGGAAGCCTGGCCTCACGAGCCAGCACGCGCATGCATTGCTGTGATATGTACAGATCCAGGCCATTGGCTGACAACTGGCTTTATCGTTACACTGTGTGTGTGTGTGTGTGCGTGTGTGTGTGTGCACAAATACACACGTGTTTTATCTATAGGGCTTCCGTCTTGTTAGGGCTACCATGTTTGTGGACTTTTGCAGGACTCTTGTTGATTTGTATATATACATATGTATAGGCCTATATATGAAAGTTACTCATGGTAATGTTACTCGTGTGTGGCTTTTGCTTTGTGGGATAGGAAACTTTTTTTTTTCCAGACGCACTTAGCGAAACCCGCCTTACAGCAAGTATAGCCTCAGACTCGCACAATGAAAGTATTTTCAATGAATGTAAACCAGAGACGTATTGGGGGTGTGGCTGCCTCGAAACAGTTTAGGGGTAAAATCAACACCAAGTATCAGCGTGCCAGTTTGCGCAAAAACTGGATGCATGTTGTGGACTATTTAGATTAGCTCAAGATCAAACTGTTTAGACGTGTACACACCAAGCACACAATTATACCTAATGAATTAACTGAAGTAAGACTCTCAGCAATATTGCCAGTATTTCAGGCCCCTCTGGGAGTTGCCAAATGATTTACATTTGAGTTTGAGCACTCTGTGAGATTTTTATTTTTAACTTACATGCATATATATATATATATATATATTCCCTTGAACGTTCAGTTCAATGAAGGTTTTGAGTGTCATTATCACTGTGAGTTTTTGATGCAGCTTTCTTTGCCTTTCTTATAATGTTCTAAACTTCAACAGAAACTTGGCTGGGTTGGGTTTTTTTTAACAATTCATGAAATATGATTGAATTGCTTGAAGCTGGGGAAGTTATTCTCTTTGGGTTTGGGGTTTTTGCTATCATATGTCCAGGTCAAACAGTGAGTAACTTGCATCTGTAGGGTAATGCCTATGCTCTATGCAGTTGCATACAGAAAAATGAGTTTGATGTGCGGGTAGGAAATTCTATGTTATCGAGAGTCTCCATCTTTCTACTGGGATACTGTACACCCACTCAGCCTTAGTTGGCCCAGATGGGTTGGGTCGAAGTCAGAGCAGTCCACCTTCTAACTTACCTAAATTGTGTTGATGGGGCCGTTAAACATATGTATGTAGAATCAATGACTCTGTGTGACCCATGACATTTTCTGGTTTGATGTCGGAGCATTCCTATGAGCCTCCTGCTGTCCCCTGTACATTTTGTATTGCTTTGTAACTTTGTATTTCTCTAGTTATTTGTAGACACTGCCAAAGAATATTTTATGCTTTCACAATGAAATACATTGTGTATTATAATGTGTTATCATTTCATGTCCATATTATTCCTATCAGCAATCCATTGATAGAATTTAGAGAAAAGTGTGAAGAGAAATAACCCGTCCAGTACAGGATAGTTTTAACCCCATATGCAGTGCGAAAAGAGATTTAACAAAACTTGTATAACATCATTCGCAAAGATACTCATGTAGCAATACAGCAAGAAATAGAAAGGATAAATCAATGGCAAAAATGTGGGAACAAGATTTCATGAACTGTCTCTGTTTGAAAACTAGATGCCTGGAACAATTACATTTATAGGCATATATATGTATGGCGATTTGACAGTTTCGACAGGCAAGAAAGGTTTCTGGGTGAGGCATTGAAGGGGTTAAAGAACTTGACTAAAGATACAACTGCAATAAATACAGACTTTACACTGAAATAGTGGCAATCTCAGAGATAGGGGGGGGGGGGGTCCTGGTTTTTTTTCTAGATTAAGACTTAAGATGTTTAACAGTTTGTATGTGTATGTGTGTGTGTGCGAATGCAGGGAAAGGAAAATGACTTACTAAGTTGTACAGAAGAACTTTAGTTGTATCATCATTTGGGTTTTTTTTTAAACACTGTAAGTTTAAGTGAAAGCTTTTATTTATAGGCTTAAGGGGAGGAGCGACCCTTGATTTTGCAGATTTTGGGTCAGGCTATGCAAATTTTCTGTTGGCTGATTTTTCAAGATCAACCAGTTTTTTGTCCAAAAATAGCATGGATACATTTGAGAAAGTGTTTATTCTCCACGTAAATTGCCTTTAAAAACATGACGATGGGTTAATATAGTGAATTTTCACAATAATAGTCAGTTTTCGCAAAATGTAATTTTTTTGCCGTTTTTTCCCTACTCCTTCCTTAGTTTTCATCATTTTGAGATGAAACTTTCAGGAAACATAGATGGCAAGGCTGCCATCAATGTAACAGAGAGATATTTGCGAAAACAATAACATTTTTCCATTGGCAAGCGATTATGCAACCTAAATTTTTAAAAAGTTTTTTATACTTTGGGAAAATTCTCATATATTGTTTTCTTTTGCACTTATTGAAATAAGCTTGCTGTTACTCTGATAGGGTCTAGTTCAGGTATACTCTCACCACATTTGGTCAAATTTGGTTGGTAAATAAGAAAGCCTTAGGGATTTGAAATCCATTGTTTATTTTCAAAATGGCGGCTGTTTCCATAGCAACCGTTGTTGCTGTGCCAAAAAAAAATGGCGCATTAAGAGATTTTACAATGCCTAACTTATATGTGTACTTAGATTTGATCTTGGGCAACACATAGAAAATGGTCCTCAAGGGTAGCTCCTCCCGTTAAGGCTTAGAATTGTGTTTTTGTCCCTTTTTTTGACATAACTGCGCAAGCAAAGATTTAAAAAGTTTTATATGGATTACCTGAATTATATTAGTCCCAGATTACAATGATTCTTAATGAAGGAAGCAACAGTAGGCTGCAGTAGTTGCAGTTGTTTGCCTCGTCATTTTTGTTCTGACCTCATGTACAGTGTGACGCAATCTTTTACGTGGACTCATGGATGTACGCAACAATTGTTGTCCACCACCCCCAGCATTATCTGTCTTCAGAAGTCTTTCGCCTTTATTTTTCATCTCATCTTCCTCGAGTGCTTCCATCATGTCTACTGTGCAAGAGGTTGAAGGGAGGGTGCTGCAAGTAGATCCTTTATTCTTTTCTTTCCCCCTGCTGTTCTGTCCGTCTATCTTGCTGTCTCGTAGCACGACTGTGCGTTATCATCATATTGATAAGCTTCTCTTCACTCTAACTGAGCTAAACGTCTACTGCTTACACTTTAGGGTGTTTTGCTCGCCTTACTTTTCTTACTAAATACAATGTAGGTGCTCCGGTGGCTCAGTTGGTTTCATGCTGGACTATATATGGTGCTTATGATTCTGGTTCCAATCCCCAACATACAGGGAAGGGGTGTTCCTCAGTTGTTTCGGGAGTTTTCAAGTCAGTCTGTCAGCCAACTTGGTTTAGTCCCACTGAATAAAGATGACTCACTAGGAGGTCCTGCCGCTTAAATAATCTGTAAATGTTTACAGGTGCATAGACTCACACAGTACCACACAGGAAGTACCATCCTGTGCAGATGTATTGGTGGTCATCATCAGAAACTGACAGACAAACTATTATTGTTATTAGAACCACACAGGCTGGTGTGGTTTTGGAGTGCTTTTGCATTTCCCTTTGCAAATTTCTGAATATATATATATATACATACATAATAATATATGTAACGATTGTCTTCCTGCCTGTCCTTATCCCTGCTATGTCTAAGTTCAACAGCTGTCCTCTCCCACTCACTTTTCAGGGATGAGAGTTCTCCATGAGTTTTCCTCAGTTGACGATGTTGAAAGAAGTGCACAGTTAGGAAAACGAAGATACTGAAGTGTTTGCTTTCTCTAGTATTAGTATGATAACGTATGTGTGTTGTGCCCTCTCATCAACACTAATGCCTGGTCTTCCCACACTGACAGTCAGCGTCTGTGGTGTAGTGCTTAGTAGTTAATCGCTTTGCCTTGGCATGCAGGCGACCCGAGTTGGATTCTCGTGAGTGGGGTGAATTTTTAATCAACTTCTCATGCTGGGTTGCTGAGTTAGCTTGATCCTTAAATTGTGAAAATTGGGGCGGGGGTGTGTAAAAACACCTACATCTACTTTGAGAGAAATGTTGTTTTTTTCTTCACAACGACAGCATTCTGAAGGCGTTGGGAGGTTTCCCTCCATCTTGACCTAGACAAAATGCTGCCTGTATTCACTTAAAATGTACATTTTTTTGTAAATACCAAATGTATAGGGCCAATACACACTGATATACTCTTAAGAATTAATGCCTTTGTTTTGGTATTTACACAGTCACCAAAGATATTGTCAGTCGAGCATAATAGCAGTCTGTGAGGGTGACATATGGCACAAATGTGCTGTGAACGTCCACGTATTCTCAGGCTTAGGTTGCACACAACACACAACTTATTTCCTTATAATATAATGTGTTGTCCCATAGTACACACACCTTTTCTTGAATGTGTGTGTGTGTGTGTGTGTGTGTGTGCGTGCGTGCGTGCGTGCGTGCGTGTGTGTGCAATGTATTGTATAGCAACCAAGGTTGTACTTTTCCCCAGGACTAAAGATGATCCCAGAAGAGTCGGAAAATAATTTATTTTTGGATGGTAATTACGGGCCTGCGTTTATCGTGTTCTCCATTATATACACATCTAGTTCTCAAAGGACTGCTAATGCTGTGGTTGTGACTTGAATCAGGTTGTGCGGTGTTGATTTGTTGTTTTCAGATTGTCTAAAGTACTGTCTGAATGACAAAGACTTGTGACAACAAGCTTCCCAGCAGTGGAGATCTATGGAAAATAATTTACTCTCTACAGAGTGTGATGTCCTGGGATCCATGTTATTAATAATAATAATTATAGACTTTACAAACGGTTGTATTATAAACAAACAAAATACTGCTGCTGAAACTGAAATATTTTTTTCTGAAGTTTCCCTATGTTTTTATTTTTATCGATGTAATATATTATATATACATTTTCTCTATTTATGTAAATTGTCTTCCATTCTATGGTTAACCCAGCTAATGCTATGAGCCTAAATCTATGGGAACAGTGTCAAAGAGTGAGAAGGACTGTGAGTGGTTGTCTCATACCACCTCGAAATGGGATTGGAAAGGCGCCTGTGGTTTATACATTTTCAGTCTTGACGCAAGACACTCAAACTTATTGAATGTTAATAAAGTGTATTTAAAGAAACTTTTGTATTCTTGTATGGTTGCATTAAAAAAAAAAAGATTTTCAATTAGAATTTCAGTCTTTTTTCTGGAGAAGATTCTTCACAATGTCACTGTCTGTAATTTGTAAAGAAAGTTGAACCATTTTACTCTTTATCTTTGCACTGTGACGGTACCTTCAAACTGAGGACAAATACAGACATTTATCACTGCATCAGTGCCAGCACAGTAAACATACGCTTGAATGAATTGTTCCCAAACTAGTTTATGGACCCACAGACTGGCACAGAGCTTAACTGTGCTATATGAGCCCTTTCTAAAACCTTAACACGAAAGGGAGACACGAAGCATACCCGCTCAAAATGAATGAGAAAACGGCAGCAAAATAATGGAGTTTCATTAGATTCTATATATTTTCAGAATAGAAACCAATACTGTCTGGGAAACAGAAACATCTGTTGACAAAATTTCAACCAAAATTTCAAACAAATTTCATTAATGTGCATTAATCTTGTGGATGCAAGTCTCATGATACATGTATATCTTACCTCACATCAAATATAATTTTCCCTTGCATACAAATGCAGAGTATAGTAGCCTACCTTAGAAAGATGAAATTTTGGGAAAGGCTCATATCGCTGGTTTTTCAGCAATTGGTCATTGGTGATTCAAAGAGTGGCACATTTCCAGGTACATTAAGGACCTGTATAGTGTATGCAGCTGGTTTGTGATTTCTGTCCCTGTTCTGACTGTTCATTACAATTAGGCTATTGTTCCCTGAACTATAAATAATGTAGCTATGTACATAATTTGTAAGTAGCGGTATGTGAGTTCGTCACTGTTGTTAGGATGTTTGTTAGACTTGTAGAATGCAGTAGGAGGAGTTTCTTGAGCTGCTGCTTTCTACATGCTCTTTCAGTATGCAAGCAATTATGTGTAGTTTATATATAATATATTTTATTAAGTTATTAGCCCACGACAAGTATCATAATTTAAATCAAATGCGTACCCTCTGTGTGCTGCTAGGCACAACCTCAGACCTACAGGACAAGCATGATTTCTTCGGGTGTGAGCTCCAAATAAGATGGTCTGGGTACAGTAAAGAGGATGTTTGAGAAAGGGGGATGTGGGGGAATGAAGACGAAGAGCTAGCTGGGTAGGTATTAAAACCTTATCAAGTCTTTCTTACCACCACGCACAAGAACAAGCATATATTTAAAATATTGAGTACCTTTAGCTTTCATCTTTTAGCATTCACACATCTCTTTCAGAGGAGAACATTTCCTTGGTTAACTACTGCCAGTCTGTTTTCATGGGATATGATATTTGTATCAATAATGTACTGAAGCTCAACCGATGAGTTTTCGTCTTCTTCTCAATATTATGGAGGATTATTATATCGCCACCTGACTGTACT